GCCACGTCGGCTGGCTGGGATGGTCTTCTCAGCCCCATCCTCAACACGGGGCCCCCCTACTGCGACCCCAATATGCCCAATAACAATGGCACCAGAGGGAACTGCGGGAGCCCCGCTGTGGGCATCATCTTCTTCACCACCTACATCATCATCTCCTTCCTCATTGTGGTCAACATGTACATCGCAGTGATTCTGGAGAACTTCAATGTGGCCACAGAGGAGAGCACTGAGCCTCTGAATGAGGATGACTTTGACATGTTCTATGAGACTTGGGAGAAGTTTGACCCTGAGGCCACCCAGTTTATTACCTTTTCTGCCCTCTCAGACTTTGCAGATACCCTCTCTGGCCCTCTGCGAATCCCAAAACCCAATCGGAATATATTAATCCAGATGGACCTGCCTTTGGTCCCTGGCGATAAGATCCATTGTTTGGACATTCTTTTTGCCTTCACCAAGAATGTTCTGGGAGAATCTGGGGAGCTGGATTCTCTGAAGGCAAATATGGAGGAGAAGTTTATGGCAACTAATCTTTCAAAAGCATCCTATGAACCAATAGCCACTACCCTCCGGTGGAAGCAAGAAGACATTTCAGCCACTATCATTCAAAAGGCCTATCGGAGCTATGTGCTACACCGCTCTAAGACAATCTCCAATCCTCCAGGTGTGCTCAGGGATGAGGAGGAGGCTGTGTCACTCCCAGATGAAGGTTTTGTTGCATTCATGGGAAATGAAAATTGTGTGCTCCCAGACAAATCTGAAACTGCATCTGCTACATCTTTCCCGCCATCCTATGACAGTGTTACTAGAGGCCTTAGTGATCAAGTCAACATGAGCACATCTAGCTCAACACGAAATGTAGGTGAAGCTACCAGTAAGGAAGCCACTGCCCCTGGGCCACAGTGAGGACACTCCAGCATGGATATGTCCAGTTCTGATGTGTCCTTCTGCTCCGTAATAACTTTTTGCCACTCCAGGTGGCACCCAGCTACCACCTCACCAATGCATGCCACTGGTCACAATATCAGAACTGAGTAAGGGAATGCAGTTGGTACCCACCTCTGGAGAAGCCCCCATACACGAACAGAAGTCAGGAGCCAAGAGCATCTCCACTGAGACTTTCCTTTTCAATTTCAATATCAGATGATGGCTTCCCTTACTTTCCAAAAAAAAATATCCCTGGTCCTTTTATTTTGACTGTGACCAGAGCTTTCATTTATCAAGACAAACTTCTTAGGACCAGAACTTCCAAAGATATATGGCAAAGATGTTGCCAAAGGTCCAAGGCAATCCTCTGTGAACCACCACATAGAGACTGGCAGTGTTATTTAGGATTTTGCATGACTGCATGTTGAGAGCTGCAAGACAACTGCTCCAGCCCAGGGTAACACCTACGGTCTATGTCATGAAAGTCCTTTGAGATATCTATTAAAATTAATATTTTTAAAGATATGTCAAGACCAATATTATATCTTAAAGCATTATTTTTTAAAAAATTATGTGATATTGACATGTCATAAATCACTTCTCCTTCCCTTTCAGTATTCCTGATATTTTTCAGTTTGAGCTAAAGGCTGAGTGGGGCAGAAAGAAGCACTATCCTGAGAGCTTGTTCTAA